TATATATGCCACGGAATACTGCTCAGCCATTAAAAAGGAACAAAATAATGGCATTTGTAGCAACCTAGATGTTAGAGACCATTATTCTAGGTGAAGTAACTCAGGAATGGAAAACCAAACATTTTATGTTCTCACTTAAAAGTGGGAGCTAAGCTATGAGGATGCAAAGGCATAGGAGTTATATAACGAACTTTGGGGACTTGGAGAGAAGATGAGCAGGGGGGGAAAAATGAAATACTACACATTGGGTACACAGTATGCTGCTCAGGTGATGGGTGCACCAAAATCTCAGAAATCACCACTGCAGAACTTGTCCATGCAATGAAACACCACATTATCCCCCTAAAACAACTGAACGAAAATAAAAATAAAAATAAAATAAAATAAAACACAAAGGCAAAAAGTCATGGGGGAAATGGGCTCCACTACAAGGACTCCTGACAAAAGATTATTAATCTTTGTGTAACTGTTGATTTTGGCAAGAAACTTACCCTTAAACTAAGAATGCTTTTGTTGGCTGGGCGAGGTGGCTCACACCTGTAATCCCAGCACTTTGGGATGCCGAGGTGGGCGAATCACGAGGTCAGGACATCGAGACCATCCTGGCTAATGCGGTGAAACCCCGTCTCTACTAAAAATACAAAAAAGGTAGCCGGGTGTGGTGGCGGGCGCCTGTCACCACGCCCAGCTACTCCGGAGGCTGAGGTAGGAGAATGGTGTGAACCCGGGAGGTGGAGCTTGCAGTGAGCCGAGATTGCACCACTGCACTCCAGCCTGGGCAACAGTGCAAGACTCCAACTCCAACTCCAAAAAAAAAAAAAAAAAGGAATGCTTTTGTCCTTTAGATGTGGGATATCAGGATATTTCCTGGCTTTTTTAAGTTCTGGGTCTGTTTAGCAAACATTATTCATCTATTCCCTTAACTGTAAACATCTTGTCACCAAGAATGCTAATCCTTCTGGGAATGCAACCCAGCAGGTCTCAGCCTCATTTTATCCAGCCTCTATTCAAGATGAAGTTGTTCTGGTTCCCATGACTCTGATATAACAATAATTTTACAGCAATTAGTTACAAAAGACTAATGTATTCACCAACTAAGTTCCCTCTGGCAAACTTTCTCTTATTTTGGAGTTAGCAAAAAGCATAAGATTTATGACCAGCCAGAAAAAGCAAAGGTATTATATTGTGGTATCCAGCAAGATAATAATTCTACAGATTTGTCTTTTTTGCTTAATTACATATGGAAAGCTTCTAGAACAGGTACTGGCACATACTTGGCACTCCAGTCAATAAATACATTTTGAATAAAAAAAATTTTGTTTTCTAGGTGAACACTAGTATTAACAGAATTTAAGATACTTCCTAGTAAAAGTTACAATTTAAATCTTTTTGATTATACCATGTTTTTTGATTCTTTTCAGTATGTTTTCTTATATTTTATTTGGTCCTAATAGTAATTCTAGAGATGAATAAAGAAAGTGTGATTGATATATTTTGATAAATTGTCCAAGGTCAAGTAAATTTTCCACGATTACATAATTAACAACAACAACAAAAAACTGTGATATCATCACACACGTCCGTGTGAAGAGACCACCAAATAGATTTTGTGTGAGCAACAAGGCTGTTGATTTCACCTGGGTGCAGGCAGCCTGAGTCCGAAAAGAGAATCAGCGAAGGGAGATAGGGGTGAGGCCATTTTACAGGATTTGGGTGGGTAGTGGGAAATTACAGTCAAAAGGGGTTATTCTCTGGCTGGCAGGGGTGGGGGTCACAAGGTGCTCAGTGGGGGAGCTTTTGATCCAGAATGAGCCATGAGAAGGAATTTCACAAGGTAATGTCATCAGTTAAAGCAGGAACAGGCCATTTTCACTTATTTTGTAGTGGAATGTCATCAGTTAAGGCAGGATAGGCCATCTGGATGTATGTGCAAGTCACAGGGGATATGATGGCTTAGCTTGGGCTCAGAGGCCTGACATTCCTGCCTTCTTATATTAATAAGAAAAATAAAATGAAATAGTGGTAAAGTGTTGGGGCAGTGAAAATTTTGGGGGGTGGTATGGAGAGATAATGGGCGATGTTTCTCAGGGCTGCTTCGAGTGGGATTAGGGGCGGCATGAGAACCTAGAGTGGGAGAGATTAAGCTGAAGGAAGATTTTGTGGTAAGGGGTGATATTGTGGGGTTGTTAGAAGGGACATTTGTCTTATAGAATTATTGGTGATGGCCTGGATACGGTTTTGTATGAATTGAAAAAACTAAATGGAGTAAGAGAAAGAGAAAAACAGGTATTAAAGGACTAAGAACTGGGAGGATCCAGGACATCCAATTAGGGAGTGCCCAAGGGGGTTCAGCATAATTATTTGGCTTGGTTGGTGAGTTTTCAGGCTCTATCCAAGTTTTTGGGGTGCATTTCAAGTTGGGCTGGTGTCTGGAATGAGACTGGGGCCTAATAAAAAGGAGTGTCTATACAGGAGCTCAAATGGGCTGAAACCTGTAGCATTCCAAGGACACTTCTACCAACTTCTTTTTGATAAAACAGGTATTTTTAAGGCATCAGAATTTACTGTTAATTGAAAAATTTTCATGATTTTAAATAATCTAAGAACCATAAATAGCATTACCTTGTTTCATGAAAATAGTTTATGAAAATAGTACACTATATGAAATCCTCAATTCTTATTGATAAATATGTAGTGAAAATAGAATCTTTATGGCTTCACGAAGCCTTTTTCTATCATTAAAACTATCTGAGAATAGGCTCTCTTCATTAAGTTAGTTATTTAAATTAAGGAGATTCAAGTACTGATTATTTGTTTGTCCTTTTGTTTAAAAATGAGTAACCATGCTCTAACTCCTAAATAATTTTGTTTTCTTATGTAATACATTAACTTTTATTACCCCAAGTATGATACACGGAACTCAAGCTTTTACAAATAAGTATTAGTTACAAATAATATCCAAAGTCCATTGTTTGTAATGGTTTGTTAAATAACATTAAACAGGATTTTGTTGTTGTTGTTTGTTTCTCATTTAGATTAGCTTTGCTTCAGCTTAAATGAGAACAGCTTAGAATATTTAATATACCAATGCAAAGTGTGATGTCTAAAATTATAGGTATAACAAACAGTATTTCCCTAATCTATTTGAACATGAAAAAAAGTTTCTCCCCTATAGGGCATCTTGAGAAATTACTGTTCATGGATCACACTCAGAGTTGTAATGGCCGAGGACTTTATCATATATTTAGCTAACTCTTCTGAATTAATGGTTGTACTTACTGGTTTCTGTAATTCATGGTTCTTCCACTATTTTAGATTGTTTCAACTATAAGGGAGTAAATAGATAAGTTCAGTGTTCATGCAATTTTTATTAAATAAAATGAAAATAGGAAAAGCAAAAAGGGAATGCTAATCTACTTTTTATCTGGTTCATTATAAGGTAGTGCAAGACACCCTTAGATCAAGCAAGGGATACACAGATACGGTTAAACAGTCTGGTTTACATTTGTTTACATTCAGAATTAAACAGAATGTGTTTCTTTCAATGATCTATAATTCACATTTTGTAAATACTGTCTTCTATCTGTGTGCATCTATAATGACATTGTTAGAGTATTTAACTATAATATATTACTCTAATGATTGTGTAGCCAATAAGCCCATGTGCATGCAGTGATAATTAGCTTATTGTGAAAATACAGAAGAAAGGCAATCAAAGTCCATACATAATGGTCAACCAACTGAAGGGTCTTAATTATGAAATATTAGCCAACTGAGGACATGGTTTGGAAAAAGTTACTTTAGCAAAAAGAAAAAAGGAAACAAAGCAGATAACAGATACGAGAGGCATGTCCATGAGCATGGGCATGTCTATGAGCATACTATTATGATTCATACCAGATCTCATCATAGATGAGAGGCCACATGAGTTAACCATGATACAGCAGAAGACAGGATATGGGAAAGAAGATCTGTTGACTTTAGTCTTGGAAGATTCTACTTTGAGTGGCAATTTTAAAGAATATCAAGAATATTATATTTCTTTCCCTTATAGATCCAGTCTCCTTGATTCTCCATTGGATGCTTGTTTACATGTTCTCACATTTTACATGCTGTATAAAGACCTTCCACTTTTAAAAACCATATAGACAAAGTATAGAGGATAGGTATAACTACAAACTGTAACAAAAATATTGAATATTAATTTATGTAAGAATTGCTATATACTTTGACATACATTAGTCTGTATATATGTAAAACTCATATACTTATATAAAATTAAAGTTTAAATTATAAAAATAGATAACTGAAGATTTGCTGAGGAGAGGTTGAAAAAAGTATAAATACTCTACCTTCTTGGACTTCTCCCACAATTTTTCCAAAGGCTGCAAAGCTATTATTTACGTCTGGTTCCCTAGAAGCAGACCTGCAATAGGAAATTTTACGCTATTGATTTATTAAGATAGTGTTTTCAGGAGAAACAAGTAAGGGAGTGACAGAAGCAAGGTGGAGAAGGAGAAGGAGCTGCAAAGATGTGCTTTCAGGTGAAGACTAAGTTCATTCTGATCCCCTGTGAACTTGGACCACAAATGATGAGACAGTTTGTCATTCCCTGAAGTCAGAAAGCAGGGCTTTTTGTGCACCTCCAACCATGGGTTGCAAGGTGGAGGGAGAGAAAGGGTGCACCAGTATAATATCCAGTCACTTTTAGGAAGGTGAGTGTGATAGTTAATTTTATGTCTCAACTTTACTGGGTCATGGCACACCAAGGCATTTGATTAAATATTAATCTGGATGTGTCTGTGAGGTTGTTTCTGGATGAAATGAACATTTTTGTAGACTGAGTGAAGTAGTTTGCTGCCTTCCCCCACCCAACAATGTGGGTGGGGCTCATCCAATCAGTTGAAGGCCTTACTAGAACAAAAATGCTGAGTAACGGGGGAAGTCCTCCTGCCTGACTACTTTGAACCGGGACATGTGCCTTTTTTTTCTGCCTTCAGACTCAAACTAAACATCATCTTTTCCTGGCTCTCAATCCTGCTGGTCCCTGAACTAAAACGCACATTATCAACTCTACTTGTTCTTAGTCCTTTGGAGTCAGACTGGGACTACACCATTGACTCTTCCGAAACTCCAGCTTACTGACTACAGATCTTGGAACTTTTCAGCTTCCACAACCATGTAAGCCAATTCCTTTCTAATAAATAAGCCTCTCTCTATATATACATACTACTGGTTCTGTTTCTCTGGAGAATTCCAACTAACGAGGTGAGAAATGGCTTCTATAACATAAATGAAAAACTCCGGAAAATACTGGTCTTAGAGTAAACATTGTTTCTTATGAAACGTTTCCTGTGATTTAACCCCATATTTACTGTCTAAATTTATCTGTCTAAAATAATTTTCAGGATTCTAATTTCACTAAATGTTTACACAGGTACCCTATCATTCACTTTCAACGAAGCTATTCTATATACTAAATTGCGGCTGTGTTCTTTTTGGAAACCTAACATTTAGAAAAATCCAAAAGATGATCTATCTATTACTTAAACTCGAAACACTTAAATCTATCTATTACTTAAATTTATCTATTACTTAAAGCTGAAATGCTTACTTTTTAGCAAACATTTACTTTGTTACCTATTTCTGAGAGTGCAAAAGTTTCCTTTGAAAATGAGACATAAAATCAAGAAATGCAATTAAAGCTTTAGGACTGGAAATTTCTTAGAGATTATCTTGTTCAATATACTTTTTTTTCATACAAGTAAAGTGAGGGAGAATATGATCTCAGTAAGCCATAGGGGACATATGGGAGAAAACTTTTTACTTTACATTTTTAAGTTTTAACACCTTGATCAGCAATTATTTTTAGCTGGAGCTTAGTATAAAGTCATTTATATACCATACATTTTTAATGTTGAAATCTTATTGCTTATGGTTCTAACTTCAACCAAAAAATGCCTCAGACGCAATTTGCCAGCAAATATTTTACTAAAAGAATGTATCCTTCATAGAGAACAGATTATCATGAACCCAATGTAGTCATTGTTTTTAAAACAGTTTGTTACTACAAACCTTTGAAAAAATAGTAATGGTGGTTGATAAAAATATCGACATAGCCATATTAACACATTTCATCAGATATCCCTGTGAGGTCAGTACTTTCATTAATCTATTTTCATTAACATATGAGTAAACTGTGGTGTCTGAATTCAGTTATTCTGGCTCACAAAATGGTCTTATCAACTACTATATTCTTCTCTAGAGCAAACATATTATCAACACTGAAACTATTGTTTAACTCATTGGAATATACACTTAAACCATTTTCATACATATTTGCTGGAAACTTATATGAACTAAATGCTATTTCACCACTTTTCTTGTTTTGGTTATGAAATAAAACAATGAAAAATCATTGGGTGTAACCTAGTGAGCAAGTGGAAAATCATGTGCTTTAGTCCTTCTCTTAATCAGTGTGTAAGTAATAAAACTTGCTATTTAATATGAAGGTGATGATCTTTATCCACTGTCAAAGGACATGTATGTGGGGCTACTTTTGCTGTAAATAAAGGATTACATAAGCTACACTTATTATTCTTGGGAAAAAGTACAATGGCACAGAAATTAGGAGGCCCTGGGTTTAATTTCTGCTCTGTAAGTAGTTATCTGACTTTAGCCAAGCATTTAGCTCTATGAGAATCATTTTCCTCTTCTTGAAAGTGAAGAGGTAGGAGTTTTGACCTAGATCAGCTTATAGATTCTTTCTAGGTCTATTCTAACATTCTATGAGTCTATGATCTAGACCTCATTAATGGTCTGCTATTAGTACTAGTCATGCCCAAATGAAATATATTAAGTTGCATTTTGTATGTGATAGGTGCTGCCAGATTTTAGATTCGTACTTTTAATTTATATTTTGAGATCCTCTTCTACCTACTCTATGCTTTTTAAGAAAGTTTTACTCTTAGAAAAGAAAATACATGGATTGATTGAGATCATTCAAAAATTTTAAAATTATTTTACAAATTAGATTATAAAGATTAAACCTCATTAATAAGAATAAATTAAATGTTTAAAGGTTAGAAACAGACATCAGATTGGACAGTATAGCAGTTCCCTATCTGAACTGGAAAGAAAAATAAAAGTGTTATTATACTTTATCCATGTAGGAAAGTTATGTAACATGTCAAGAGTGAAGAATGAGTTTGGAAAAGTTGCTCTTCATGGCATTCTTTTACTGTGAACCTCGAATGGTGTGCTTGAGCCGTTGGAAGCAGGCTGAAACAATTGGAAAACACTGAATTAGTGGGAGGTAAGGGCGGTATCTGCAACAGCTGAAGTAAAATGAACTTTTCTGCAGAGTAAAGCAGCTTAGTTACAACCCTCAAAGCTCAAACGTCAATCCATTCCCAAGCAGGACAAGTGTGGGTGATATATGGAAAGGCTATTTTAAAATCCGCTTGAGCTTGCCAATCTGGAGATTTGCCCAGGAAAGAGAGCCTCAGAAAAATCACGATGCAAACAAGCAAATTTTATCAAATTTATGCAGAACTTGAGAGTCACAGAAACTAATTGGACAGAATCCCATCTAAGATTTCATCATTAATAATTACTATGACAGATAGTTATTTTAACTGTCTTTTCTCTCATGTCTGTTTCAATGACTTAATAAGTATGTGTATTTGTTTTGTGCAATATCATCATGGAAAAAATACTTTCCCAACATGTCCTTATAAAGCTAATTCTGTTCTTTTGGACCTTGCTGAATCTTATATCATTTTTCAAATATGGCTATGCTGTCAAATAGAAGTGGTAGGGACATTTTTTTCTAAAGTCAGAGCATTTCATTTTGAATGCTCAAGAAAATCACAAAAGCCAAGTGTTACTTTCTTTTAAAATAAAGGTTTGTTTAACATCTTGTGTTATGCAAAATATTTAAGTGACATTAAGTAATTGTGAATACTTTCTGTAATATCAACAGAATATTTTTGTCCGCAAAGTGATGTCAATATATTGAGTGAAACACTCTGTTTTAAACATAATATTAATGCTTATTGACTATGTATGTTACTGTCTTTTGCAGACATCAGTTGAATCACTATGACTTATTCTAAATGAGATATTTTTAATGAAAATGTATCACACAGACAAGCTAAACCATTTCCAGGAATATTGTAACAGCTTCAAAAGAAGATACTATAGTGTTAAAGGGAAGCATATGATTCTTGATGTTAGTGCCAGAGAGCTATAGTTTTAATGTGTTGAATCACTACGAGTGATGACATGAATGATTAGATTTTGTAATAACAACTTAATTTGAAAGAAGGAGATTCTCCGATTCAGGAACTTACTAAAATTTCTCAACAGGTGATAAAGGATGAAAATATGACAAAAAAGTTTTCAGATAACTTAAAAAAAACTTCAGGTATAATGATTATTTTTGTAAGCAATAAGATAGATTTGAGTTGATGAAAGTACTCCAGATGGAGTGTAAGTAGTATTTCATTCCTGCAGAAAACACTTCGTATTTAGTTATTGAGACGGTTATCCTAAAGACATTTATTTAAGATGCTAAATTCTGGCATGTCAAATTACAGTGCTATTTGATGACAGGTAGATCAACAAGATTAGGTTATATTTATTAACAATTGAGAAATTAAAACATAGTGGAATGCACAGCAACCAAATTAGGATAAAATTCCCTGAAGGTTTAATTGGCCGGTACTCTTTTGGAATATATTAATATTGATGCACTCACTTTAAAAGACCAGCATTAACACTATCAACCCAATCATCATAGATCACTGTTGATAACCAGACAGCAATTATTACGGCACATTGTCAGTGAAGTTATTATTTTAGATTATATGATGATGTGGCTTGGAATAAATTCTAACTAATTATAAGAAATTGAAAGAGGCAACATTCAAATTACAAATGATGTTTAATAAAAGGGCTCACTCGGAAAATGCTAGAAAGTAACCTCTTTTACTTGCCATCATTTAACCATCTCTAAACTTAATATAATGTGTACTTTTTTTTTTTTTCCAGTGAGTGGCATAGGACATAAATTTCTTTTGAATCAATTTTGTTTTCAAAACTTTGCAGTTAGGAATTGATTTGGTATGAAAAAAATATATTTTTCCAATAGCTCTCATTCAAACTTTAGTGAAATAATTTTGTAATTGGTTGTTTAATGGCGAGCATTCAGCAACTACTATTACCATGATTAAAAGTTCTGTGAAGAAGGGATTGGTGTCTGCCATGTGAACCAGAGCCCCAGCACCTACCTTACACAGTGTACAGTCCCTCAATAAGGAATTGCTTATTAATGAAATGAATGCACAGGCCCATAGCTAGTAACTGGGAGGAAAGGGGATTCAAGTCAAACTGCTGACTTCATGTGCAGAGACTAATATGAATTTGTATGCAGCAAGATACAAGCATCCAATTCATGGATATGTTTCTCAATGAACTCAAACATTACTATTGAATAAACTATGTGCAAGATGAATAGCTTGACCAAATCAGTCTGTCATTCTTGTTGCATGATTTCAAGGTTTGCTGTTTATGGAAATGCCCTTAAGTTATAGTTTATATTACATATGATTCCAGAGAGTTCATGGCTAGGGCCACTGATTTAATTCTCAGAGGAAAAATTAGATTTTCCAGGAAAACCTTCCTTTCCCCCCCCCCCCCATAGTTTGTAACCTCAAGTCTATATGAAAATGTCTGTCTTGTTCTAAATGAAATCTTGGGTTAAATGTGAGCAGCCATTAGGCTTTTCCATTTCAAAATTAGAATCATCAGTTGACCAACTGGGTCACTGTTAAATTATTTTAAATATTACTAAATCCACTTTTAGTTCTAAATTTATACTGTATTAATAGCAACCAAGTGATATACATTTTATCCCTTTTCAGATCAAAGTCTTCCCAATTTAAACAATTAATCAAGTTATTATTCTACAGTAAAATAAAGACAGTAATAAATAGATAGATCACCCTTAATCAACACAGAATTAAACTACCTAGGTCCACTTATACTCAAAATTTTTTTCCACTAAACAAATAAAACCTTTGTGGTATGCAAACCTGCCTATACATAGTGCCAAAATTTTAGTGTATATATATATTCCACAGACCGGACCTCGAGATTTGAGTATGCACCAATTTTGTGATTATGTAGCATCCTGGAATCAACCCCCCAACTATACTGACAGACAGTGCACTATTGTTCATAGTAATTTCTAGGTAGTAGACACGAGCAAAAATTACTGTATTAATGTGATTTGTAAGTTAAAAATAATGTATATAACACAGGCTATTGTTAGGGTCACTTAATCCAGGCTGCAGAGCCCTATGACTAGAGAGAAACACCTTGAGTTGATATAAAATTCCACGAATATAAACAAAAAAACCTAAATTGTCCCCGCTGCCGAATTAGGAGCTCTTAAGAAATATTTGAGTTTTACTTTTATGATTCTATGAGTTACTGAGTCTTTAAATGTCACAATCTTTTCAAAATACAAAAATACAACTATGAATGTTACTGTATTAACTAACATAGTGTAGGTGGACTCCCTAGGCCTTTTGGGAGGCTTGGAGAAGCATTTTTATTCTATGCTGAAGGGGAGGAATGGGCAAGTGAGGACTAGCTTTCTTAGAACTTTATTTAAATCAAAGGATTATGTAGGTTGTAGAGTCACACTAATAGATCAGAAATTTTTAAAAATTCTTTTTTCCCTGTATTTGGCAAAACTGATACTAAAGAAAAATCCAAAATTTAATTTGTCACCTTCTTGGTGGCTAGGAGACATTTACTCATTTTCCCCAGTGAAATGTACCACCACAATATTTCAGTGTTCAGCAGGGCAAAATTAGAAGAAACAGGCATTTTGAGGAATTCATACCCAGTAAATATGGCAGAGGTTGGCATAGACACTGAGACTGAGAAACAACTGTTGCGGAAGGGCTGGGCTTAGAGTCCCATATTCATGTTGTGCAATGCCTGTTCTGGAATCAAGCCTGTGAATAGTTTAGTGATTGGTTTAGATATTACTTCTGGCTGCATATTCTCTAAATCCAGTTTTCTGGCCCTCCTAGAATTTCTGAGGGCTATCTTAGAAACTTTAATACATTCTTCTTCCGTTTCACTTAGTTTTTCTCATTTTAGCTAATAAATCTAGCTAAAATAAGCCTGTCCTACACAACAGGTTTGTGTGTTAGAATAATAGTCCCCCAAATAGGTGCACATCATAATCCTGGGAATTCTGAAAGCCCGAATGTAAATTTTCTTGGTGAAAAGGGATTCTGCATATCTGATGAAGATTACAGACTTCGAAATGGATAGCTTATCCTAAATTATTCAAATAGGCCCAATCTATTCATATACATCCTTAGAAACAAATTATTTCTGGTGAGTGCAAGAGAGAGTTAGATAGATATGACAGAAGAGGCAGGAAATACTTTAAGCGTGAGAAAGATTCCATTAGCTGTTGCTGACTTTGAAAATAGAGGAAGGGTGCCATGAGCTGAAGAGTGCAAGCAATCTCCAGGAGCTAGTAACGGCCTCAACTGACAACCAGCAGCAATAGAGACCTCAGTCCTACCCGCTGGGTGGAACATTCTGCCAACAATCTGAACAAGCATGCAAACAGAACCTCTCTTAGAGTCCACTGGAGTTCTGACCCATGGAATTCTAAAACAATAAATTTGTAGTGTTTAAAGTCACTAAATTTATGATTATAGAAAACTCATTTAAGGCTAGAGCAAACTCAACAGTTCATGGATCAGTGCCTCACTGGTAATGGGACAGGGACAATTTCTATAAAACATTTGTATAAAGCCAGAAAAGGTGAGCTTGTTTCTGGAGACATTGATAGGACATGGACCCTAATACGTAGTCATAAAGTACAAAGTTTAGAATTGTCTATTCTTTCAGAGTCTAAGTTATCAGGTGACAGGTATGTATCTGGTTACTAAATTTATTTAATGAATTTAAATATTAATACATACTTCATTTTTAACTAATGTAAAATCAATATAAAGGCCTTTAAGAATTGGACTTAGTTTGATGGAAAAGCAGTTACCTCAAGTCTTGTATCTTAAAGGATGGTTTGTGGGAGCTTGTTTGAGTGCAGAATGTCTGATGCCACCTGAGACCTACTGTCTTAATTTGTGTGGCTTAAAGGAGTATCTGTGGCTAGGTAATTGACGAAGAAAAGAGGTTTATTTGGCAGTTCTCTTGGCTGGACAAAAAGCATGATGCTGATGACTGCTTGGCTTCTGGAGAGGGCTTTTGTGCCACATC